TGTTATAGTGAATTATTATCCTTATTTCTCTCTATTATGACAATCCAGCGGCTTAAAAAATTACAAAAAGACAAATAGTTGTATGGACTTTGTTTTAACTGAAGTTTTTTATTAGCTCTTTTTTATAACGTAACCCTCTGTTTTGTTCCAGATTCACTCGGTTGTTTGGAAAAAATACGTGAACGTACGAGCCAGAATCGATTTTCATCTGTTTTGTAAGTCGATAAAATTTAAATTATTTTAAACGCGTGGGTGGAAAATTAACAGTAACAATTGGCGTAAATAAATATCAGACATAATCAAATAAAATTTTATTTAAAAAAATATAAATTTGTACATCAGATTTTTTACCCTAACTATATTCTACGTTCTATAATATCCGTTTTGCTATTTATTTTTTAAATCACACACACGCACACACATACATATGTGTATATAGAGATACATGTAGGTGTGAAGTACACTTAATCGATTAAAATTAATTAAAATCACAGTTAAAACACTACCTCTAATTAAAATTAATAGTTTTGAAATATTCGGCAAAATTTGTTTGCGAGTTGTTGTTTCGAGTCACCCTGTATATCAGAAACACAAAAATTTGGTAACAACGAAAACATATTTTTAACATAAAACTGGCATCTTTTGTCCAAAATGAGTCATCTTTCTTACCATTTCTGATTTCCCTTTTGCCCTGACTAAAAATGACAATTTGAGCCTTTTAGTTGTTGGACCACATATGGGATATATTTTTAACATTTACCAGTCACTCTCGAAACAGTCTCCTCCCAATAGTCAGAGGGACAGGCAAATATAGACAAATTTTACGGTAACATGTTCAGGTATTAGTTTTTCTGTGGTTTCCTTGGATCACTTAGGCAAATGCTGCGGCAGTAATATTCCACAGATAATCTTTCACTCTCTTCTGTCTTCATTTCGTCAGTCTCAACTTTCTCACCCGAACCACCACCCACCCATTCCCATGATTCCTGAAAGGAAGCAGAAGAGGGCATTCCGCCCTACCTTCCGGCTTAGTCCGGAGGGACTGCCCGCCCACCAACATTACTGGCTAGTGGGAATGAAACACCCAAAAGTTTTTGACGTGACAAAGTCTTATAATTCGATGGAGCCGGCTGCGCGCACGAAAAAACATGACTCATGCGGCGTTACCTCGCTCTGAGGCGTTCCATTTAAGGCTTGAAGTGCAAGCGAGGGCGCGGAACGAGCGACAAAGAGGCACAATCGGCCTCCGCGTTCGGCAGCGTTCGACATCTGTCTCTCTCCTACTTGAGTGAGCGATGCGTCCGCGTGGACAGCTGCTATACAATAATACATTTCCGTTTACCTCCTTCACTATATCCATACAAAATATCTATCAAACAAATAAAATTAAAATTTTCTTTTGAAAAATGAAACCATTCCATCAGTATTTTCTTATGACGTTATCACGTTCAACTATCGTCAGTAAACCGACTTTACAAACAACCGATTTTTTTTTTAGTGGGAGTTTATGAAGAGGCGGACAATCCACTAGAAGCAAGGATAGATGCAGATAGTGCCTTTTTTTTAATTACGTCGTACTATTATCCGAACATGCTACCGTAAAACTTGTCCATATTCTGGATAGCGATGAACTTTAGTTACCAGAGTATAAAAACATCAAAGAACGTGCAAGAAATGGACTTTAGTCCTCTTGGTTCGTTATAACTAATGGATACTACATACACTGTAAACTCTTTATAACGTCACTCGATTTAACGACAAACTCCTTAAAACGTCGAAATTGCTTGACTTTGGTTTTCTATACAATATTACACTCTATATAGCGTCACGCTCACTTTATTTACCGACAACAATGCGGCATTATAAATCCTTGAGCAGTACTTTCCAAGTTGCCGAAATAGATAAGAACTGCAGCTGTGTACGTTGAAGAAGACGATCATGTCCTTCCAGCAAGCATCAAACAAGCACTTGATGCAGTGAAACTATTAAAAAAATACTTTTTATATAATCAAATGTGTACTATATTGGTAAATGCATATTATTATAGAATAGTAAAATAATGTCTTTTATTTTTCTCCATTTAACGACCACTGTTCAGTCCCTTAAGTGTCGTTATATAGAGTTTACACTGTATTCCCGATTTACCCAAAAGCGCTGTACAATCAATAGATTATGAATAAATTGTAGACATACGGTTTGAAGAGTGTTTGAGATTTGCTCTCAAGAAAACAATGTCCTGCTGTCAAAACCCAATAAGGGTGAATGAGAGAGCCTCCACAAATGCTAAATTTCAATAATTTGTGCATTATGTTTGCATGGTACGGAAACTCCCCTTCGTTTGGTTCGGTTGGTTGATAAATTCCCTACAAAATATTTAAAAAATGGTTATAATTTTTATTCGAATTAATAACTGTTAAAAAAATAAAATTCTTTTCTATTTACCGAAGTATTTCTGAGTTAAATATCTCTTTCTTTATGAGTCATTAATCTTTTAAGTATGTACTTTTTTAGACCTATTTAATTGTAGTACCCTATCTATGAGCCTAACATAACAGGTAAAAGGATAACCAGGGAGGGTGTTTTCTGTGAAACTTCGGTCGAACAATAAGTCAGAATTATAATTTCTTATTTCATTTCTAAAAATAAAAAATACCTTTCCACTTACGTTTACTATAGGGCTACATTTTATCAGACACCCCGCTGCCAGAATTTGAACAATTATCAAAACTATGTATATCATTGTCTAAATTCATGATAACTTGCTAAGAAACCAAACGTTATGTTTTCGCAAGCTATTATTATAAACTAGAAACTTAATCATAAGGTGCACGGAATACATCAACAAGTTGCAAGTAAGCACCATTAAATCCACGCAGTGATATCAACGAATGGACAGCAAATCTACACGCATACATACATAGGTAAATGCGTTTCCAGATTCAATTTAATTCCGATAATGCATAAATTAAAACGTTATTAAACATGATCCCAGATGTAACAAAAATGAAACATAAACATAATTAGGTAGCTACATGAAACCTTGAATTAAGAACCATTTTGTGCCTTTTATTGTCATTTAAACGTAGGTAGGTACATGATACATACTAGAATTTTATTTTCAATTGTTTTGGTCAAAGAACAAGTTGTTTTAAAATTGATTACACTAACGTTATTAATTTTTTGAATGTATGACGTAAAAATTTTTACTACAAGAAATGAATTTTATTGTTTCAAGGCCTGAAACAGTCAGTAGTACGACTACTTTAGTTTTTTTATAGAAAAGAAGGTACGGAAACTACTTTTTCACTCATGGTTCTTCGCACAAAATAGTACATTACGTATCGAGGGAAGAAACAGGGTTATTTTAGACCGCATTTGAATTGGAAAACATGCAGTCTGAAACAACCCTGTTACTTCCCAAGGTACGTATACTATTTTTTGTCATGTTTGTGCGGAAAGCTCGTTATTAAGTTGATAGTTGGCGAATTAAGAGTAAACGATTTAGAGGTTAGAAAGACATTGTGATTGAAAAACTGATTTCTGCGCATGCCCATAAACTTCAGCGCATGCGCTAAAAAGACTAATTTCATTGCCTCCCGACTAAAACACGACTGAAAAGAGGCCATTTCTTCCCTATTTCATAGCACGCAAAACGAACTTTCCGCGCTAATATGACAAAACAACATTTAACAAGTTTGTGCAAAGAGAAGGGGTCGTGACTTAAAAAAGTATTTGTAACCTTTTAGATACATTTTGAAATTGCTTCTTTCTTATTCTCTCTGAGGGGCAAGGGGGGAGAAAAGTCAGAATCGTTCTTGGTTTCCTTTTATTTGATAGATTCCCTGATGCCTTTTCCATCGAAAGGTGATCTCGTTGTCCTTGTAGTTCGACTTATCCTGCTCTTGTAATGAAGGCAGATTGACAGAAACGTGGACACAGGTAGGTATAGGTATTGAGAGAAAATTGTTAATAACGCCCACTTCGATAAGGGTAAGGTAAAAAATTAGTTATATACATATATGCAAAAATGGTGGAGGATAAACAAGGGATACCAAGGGGTTGGAAAACAAGGAAATGGCGTGTATGTATAGGGCAAGCTGTAATTTAGTACAATAAAGGTAAATTGGGTAGAAGTCAAGAATTTCTGCCAAAACTGTTGAACCGTTCCACCGCGCATACAACAGTACCTACAAGTAGGTGGTGGACTTATTTAACTTTTATACTATAAACAATAGATTTTTAAACACACCATTCTATTAGAATACAGAAATAAGAACCATTTAAATTTTTCTAATTTTATAAAAAATTTGGTACAGGTGCAATTTTAAGGAATTGCAGCGTGTGCTTATCGACTCCGGAAAGATCTCAGCTATCCCCCTCCGGAAATCTCGCAGAAAATGTATTCTCACTTTTGAATAAAATAGTAGAAGTCGAATTAAACAATCGAAATAAAATAAAATGCATAGTCAAATTTACTTTTATTTATTTAAGGATGTTTGGGAGGTACAATCGGAGACAAGAGCACATAATATTAGAAATTCCCGACTAATTAGGTTTTGCAGCATATCATGAGGTAAATAAATACTATATNCACCCACTGTCTGTCCCTGTGTATGCTTAGATATTTAAAACTACGGAACGGATTTTAATGCAGTTTTTTTTAATATATAGAGTAATTCAAGAGAAAGGTTTATATGTATAATACATACATAATATAGTAGAGAAACACTGATAATTTTAGAGGTTTGTAATGTGGAGTCGTAAATAAACACATTTTTTGCGCTTACATAGCAAACGCTGGCTGAACCCTACGAAGTAGATCAAAATAATGTACTACAGTATTGTACACCTTAAAAAGGTCTACAAAAAAATCCGCGAAGGTATATGTCTATCTCTTAAGGATAATCCACCATAACCATTTTTTATCCTTTACTTTTTACGAGAAATAATGGCTTATTTACGAAGCGATTTTAAGCAATACAGCATTAATTCTTATCCAATTAGGTATTTTTAAATACATTGTGCATTTAATATAGATCAATATGGCCCTTTACATTATGTAATTTAAATGAATATTTTCGAAGATATTACAGACTTAAAATGCAGTGAGATAGCGGTTGCGACAGTACCGGCCGGTTTGTATTGTCTAATGACAAAAAAGCTATGATTATTGTATATGAAGACATTCTGTAGTATATTCACTATGGGCATTACACCAGTGCGAAGGATAGTGTACAAATAATACCATTAAACCAATTCCTTAACCCCTATCCCGGTATGTTTGTGTGTTTGAAGTAGTTTAACTTCAGCAGCGTGCTGTATAATTACACGTTGTATATTTTTTTTTGTTTTCTTTCTTTCGTGTTCTTACATTTATATAGTGCTTATTTAATTAATTGAGTTTACACGTTATATGCAGTACTAAATTGTTTATGTTTATCTTAGACACGTAGATGTTCGATAAATAATCGATAATGTATACATTTTCCGTCAATGTACCTGCTATTCGGAGACACCTACGTTGCCATTTCACGCACAGGACCGGCTTCAGATTGTAAATTACTGTGACTGTCTTAAAAATGTTGTTTGCCCTAAACACCCTGCCGAACCCACCGTGCGATTGTTTACTGCATCTAGTTTACACCCTCCAAAGCTCCGCACTCATTTATGTTAAACCCTGTATACTTATTATCCCCTTTTCATCAAATTGTATCTGTCACGTTATTTTGAAAAATCCCGACGTGTCTTGAGATAAAGAAGTTCTCATCTTAATGTGTTTATTTAATATTTGTCAAACATTCTCCTAATGATATTGAAACGTTTTTTTTTTAAATATGTCTTATTATTTTCAAAGCTTCGTTAAAATCTCCCTGTTACTTTTCTATGGTCTCAACCCCCTTAAAAGGGAAATGCCTACCATAATATTACAAAAGGACAACATAATCTTACACACTTCCTTAATAAATATTTGATAGTGGTAAATGGTGAATTGTCAGTTTGTTTAATAGTTTTAAATTAAGCCTTAACTTCTAAAATTTTCAATAACTTTGGGTTTGTACCTACCTATATCTTCAACATGCAGAATTTTGTAATTGTCGTTAAATTTGTGTTTCAATAATATTAAATATTTTGGGTAACCTTACCTATCCTTTTTATGTCATCGATTACGTAGCGATATCATAAAGACAATGTTCTTGACATAAAGATTTCAATTTTTCTTTCTGTTTTCTGAAATCTGAAAATAAAAACCACCACCGGAAAATCATCGGTAGGTAAATCATAAACGTAAATTAAATTGTTTACAGTAAAAATTGTTGCTCGTTTGTGATACGTTGATTGATTAAAAATGTAAGGGTAAAATCATGGAGAAGTACAAAAAGTAATAATACGCCGGATGTTTCACTCAAATAATAATAAAGGATAACATTATACGTATTATAATAGTAAAGATACTACATTATACTACTAAAACATCAAATAATTGCAATATTCACACTTCAACTACTATTTCTTTGCTTTTTGGGTCTGAAAAAATTGACTCCTGTTACACTAGAAATCCACGAAATGTACGCTGAAACTCGTGTATGTACAGAATTGTTGTACTTCAATCTACAGATTGGTAATAAGGCTAGATGACTAGTCAGACCAACTTGGTAATACTTTTTTTTTTTGAGAAATACGAGTGGACCTCCACTGTCTCCCTAGAATAAGAGAAAAAACACATATTTAGAGAAAGAGCCAACAAGAAGCACACTTTCCGTATCACCCTAATCTGGACAACGCCTCATTTTGAGTAAATGCAAGGTGTAACAGAAATAAGTGCCGAGCTTGCAGGAGGCGACAGAGCGCTATAAAACATGAAAATTAAGTGAATGTTTGTATGTCCGAATGTTCACCGTTTTCCAAAAAAACGTAGTTAAAGGTACAGATAAATTCAATGCCGGCCCTGGTTCATAAATACCGTCCGCAACGCTACACTCAATCAGTTGGTGATTACCAGCATCAACTTATGGAGATTTAACGTGCACCTCCTTACCACGGATGGTAAATTCACACGTCAAACCAACACAGCTGAGCCATGATGGTATGAAAGAGGACTCCCTGGGGTCTCCCCTCCGTCAGACGGATTGGTCCCAGGAAGCCACCGATGCGGTGCCTGAGGGTTAACGAGGCGAGTAACCCCCAAGTTCGGGCCTATCTAACCCTTAAGCGTTCAATGCAGGGACTACACAACGAACCGGGCGATCCGATGCACAGCCCCCTAACCCAGCATGCGGGCTTGTTCCATCTGCCACCTCGAGTCTAACACCAAATGGCGGGGCAGTAATCGAAGCTAGACTCCTGTGGGCCCCTTGCCTCCCGAGTACCGGCATAGGCTCTCCGGTCGTCATCAGCTACTCCGGACCACCCCTCGCTGCGTGACATCCGTTTTGCTGTACTCTCGCTATCACCGGACATCCTTCAGCCTTCCTGGCTCGCCCGAGCTACTACGCTTCTCGCATCTACTCTGCTTTCGCCATACAGTGTGCAGCCCCCCTAAAGGGTCAGGCTGCACACCCCATCCACATAATGCCACAGGCATTTCACCATGCTTCACGTCGTAACCCCCCTAATTGGTCAGGTTACCCTCAACTCTGCGACCCCGCCTGGTGCACACTCCTTGCCAGGACACTTACTTCGCCTCAGACATGGGGTAGGGACGGCATCTACCCAGAGGACCTCTGACTTTTCGGCGCCTGTCGAGGTTCCCATGTGATTGCCACTAATGGTGTTGGTAGCCGCACCGAGAGAGCCTCACTTTCGACTCGGCAGGCATTACGGGAGGGAGAGGCGACCCCCGTGTTAGCCTACCTCGTCTGTGCTGGGCTTACGTCGCGTTCGACCGCCAGCTGCCGCGTACTTTCCCCTCGGGGCTTCCGCGGCGCTCAATGGCACACCAGACGGGTGCTTCCGGACCTTCGCCCGTGTCCGTCGGCTGCTTCCCACAATCACTTTGCTTCCAGATGCTCGGGGGTCCTTTTGCTTCGCCATAACATGTGTATGGGTACTGAACCCCCCGCCGCGACAAGGTGAGGACCCTGGGGGGTGATTACCAGTATCAGTGTAATATTTGTTGTTATTTTTGACCTATATATCGTTTATTTGTTAGATTAGATTAAGTGTGATTGAGGGTATTTATATTAACAGCCAACCTCTAATAGCCTCTGTTCCTTTAACGTTTAAACCTTGTATGAAGCAATACAACATTAATCATTGGTGTAGGTTAATTACTGTAGAACAGTTGTTGTTGCAATATTGTGACATAATATGTATTTACCGATTTAAACCATATGCTGCTGTACGGACGAAATCTTCGGTTTCAAAGAAGACAATTCCCAAAATAGTACACGCGAAATAGCAGAGAACGCTGGCTCCTTTCGTGTGACAGTATGGTAAATTTTAAAAGAGCAGTTGCTGCATCCTTATCATTTGCAGCGAGTGCAACCATTGCTTGTAACTGATTTTCAGCCGCGAGTGGATTTGTGTCGATGGTTTCGAATGAAAAGTATAGTGTAGCCTAATTTGTAGTACTACGCTATTCAGTAGTAGACACGTATGTTGTCAATTCTCGCACAGGACCGGCTTCGGATTGTAAATTATTATGATTTTCTTTTAAAAAATCCCTTTAACGACGCTGTTGAACTCACCGTTTATTGCATCTATCTTGCACCCCCAAAAGCTCAGCAGTTATTTCTGTTACACCCTGTATAAAAATGACCACGTCAGTTATAACAACCTAATACAAACCGTGCAATGCAAAATATTACTCTTTATTTTATTTAGTACTTTTATTATGGAAAAGGTAGAAAGTAAAGTGTTAATGCAGGAGTTGAAAAAACAATTCATCACTAACACTTGATTATAGTTTATTTAAATTACTTCGAAAACAAACAACAACAAACTTTAAGAATTAAGAAGTTCTGAATTATTGTACTGTTCTGATCAAGTTCTGAAAAGGTTCTAATCTTTTCAACGTGCCAAATATTGTTCTTGCTTGAGTTACGAAAAGGTTCTGTCTAAAAATTTGTTCTAAAAGAAAGTACTACAGTTTGATGGGCGTGTTCAAAAATATTATTATTCAAGATTTTGGAATCTAACGTGGGGAGGTACAGCCCACCTATTCTGAGAATGTAACTACGTGTACTGTCCAGGGTAGTGGATGACACAGAAGGAAGATTACTTGTAGGTACATGTTTCTAGACTGATTGTTGGTTAATGTTTGAATTTTCCCATCGTTAGTTTGAAAGCACAAATTGACAATAGTTACAATTATAGATTTCAAAGCATAAAATTTACCTGCAATTATCAATTAATATTTTAATTAATTTATTTAACAAAAATACTGGTAAGCAAACTAGAAGAAAAACTAGGAAAAGAACGAATGTTAGGAGACGAAAAATTAGAAGTAGTTGTTTTTAAGTTTCTAGGAAGTCAGATAAGTTAGGACGGAAGGAGTAGTATGGATATAAAGCAGAGGATAGCGCAGGGTCGAATCGCCTTCAATAAAATGAAGTTACTTTTATGCCCGCGAACGGTTAATTTAGAAATTCGAAAAAGGTTGTTAAAGGTGTATGTTTGGAACGCTGTACGGGTGCGAAACATGGACAGTGGGCGCTGCGGAAAATAGAAGGTTAGAACCGTTCGAAATGTGGTGTTACAGACGAATGATGAGGATACCGTGGATACAGAAGGTTAGAAATGAAGAGGTATTAGAAAGAATAGGAGAACAGAAGACTCTATGGAAGTCAATAAGAAACAGATGAGATACATAGGTAGGACACCTTCTCAGGCATGAAGGTCTAGGAGGATTAGAGGTAGACCTAGATTACATTGTTGTTTGCAGATATGGAGGATATGGATTGTTCTAGTTTTAGGGAAATGCGAAGTTTAGCTCAGGATAGAAAAGAGTGGAGGTGCGTGTCCAACCAGCCAGAGGACTGACGACTTTATAATGAGATGATCCTACAAAATTGCTATACATGGCATTAACAGAAAGCTTTTATAAATTAAATTCATACCCGACAAGCTTTTCCTTCTGAAAGGCTTGAAGCAGCACAAATTTCCGAGTTATTAGGAGGGGGGTTATCGAAACATCCAGTGTAATTATCAACATGTAATATAGCTACTCTCAGTCTTTTTGGGATGACGTTCATATCTTTCATACAAACATAAAAACTTAAATAAGTTACTCCTTGTTTTAGATTTTTATAGTATGTTTTCTTTACCGTTTATTGCACCAAAGCCAGTGAGATAAACCGTTTTTCCAACTAAATTTTCGTTGTTGTTCGTATGAAGCGGTATAAGTTTAACGGTGGGCCCTAAAATATTAATTAATGATATTTAGGTTAATTAAATTAAGAGAAATAATTGCATCCAGTTGAAATTAACAGGATTATAAAGTTGCATAGTGTTCGTAATTTCCAAAATTATATGTTTCACTTTCTCGGTATTAAGTCTGCGTAACTTTCAAAACGCCGAATTACCGTAGGCAATTCCATTTACCATTACACGGATTTAATATTCGAAAGCGCAACCAACGTGGACCGAGACAGAATTCCAAAAGTTCCATGTGACGATGAAAGAACAAATACTATGTGGGATCCTATAAAGAGCAAAAGTAAATCAGGAAAGGGAGATGAAGTGAAGTCCGCGATCCGTCGCGATTAAGTGAGGTCCTCGAAACGGGCGTGAGGCCGAGAGGAAGAAGTGATCCACCAGTGGATCCTTATGGATCGGGAATAGTCGAGTACAGTATAGACTGGCATTAGGTTCGTGATGACAACACTGTTGAAGTCTCCGTGGGTTTCATTTAGGTACAGTAAAAGCTCTTTATTCGCGGGCTATACGTTTCATAAATATTCCGCGAATACAGAAACCGTGGGTATGGAATCATAAGGGATGCGTTCTAAGGTTCCAAAATAAAACCAATATGTATTAAAATAAAATCAATGTATTGATAAATTCGTAATTAAAATTAATCGATATAATCAGCTTTAGGCAAGAGTTTAAAAAATTTAGTGATTCTTTCTTGTTTTGAATTTTGAAATTAGTCCACCCGGTTACATTTTTATAAAAGATGCCTCGGCACGAGCCAAGATGCTGATACGTTGAAAAATTCTACCGAATCCTTTTCTACTCGGTTATATTTTTTATAAAAGCCGTATGTACCAACATACATACTCAAAAGATGCCGATAAATTAAGGAGATTCAGTAGTACACGCGCCGTAGACTAAAAACATTCTTATCCGTTCTAGATATCATGAGTTTAATATTTGGAACAAAAGTTTTGAAATTTTGTAGTAAGATAGATAAAGCTTTGTTCTAAAGCATGTCGAAGGTCATTTTTAAATTTTTTAATTTCTATTGAAAATACGTGTCCTACAAGAAGCATCAAATTTAAGCACTTGTAAAAGCTTTTAATGACCATATTATTGAAAACCAAAAACGTACCGAGTTACTGTGCACCTTTGTCTGTTACCATACAAAAAATCACATATTTATCTCGCAGTGTTAAATCACAATGTTTAGAATAGAAACCCATGTTTTAGGGAAAATTCGCACTAGGCACGAGCGGTCTATTGCGGTCAATCCCCTTAATCAATGACACCGAATCCTTTTCTGTTTACCAATTGCAACCGCGAATAATGAAAGTTTTAGCCGCGAAAAAAGGAACTGGATTGCACTTGTGAATAAGAAACTTTTACTGTATTGTAGGTATTAAGTAGCTTACCATTAAAACCATGAATATCTTATGATTTCTTCGGAATACTGAGCTTTTGATATGGTCATTAAACAACAAAACTTTATCGCTTTTGTCAACCAGTGAGGTCTGTCACTATTTTAGGGATTGTCCTTTCTCTATTTATTGATCTTGTTTAAAAACGCTTCTTCTTGATCTTCTTCCTGGAAAAAAGATAAACAACGATAAAATAACACGGTAAGGAGTCCTCTAAAAGTATATATTGTAAAAAAAATAAGTTTCGGATGTTTTATTTGCCATACTGATCCAAGAAAACTACCGGAAAATTACGGACCCGATATCGAACCCGTGTTTTCCCAAATCGGTGATACTGTAGAAGATAACTAGGGATTATGAGAAAATAAGGCCGGTGTTCTATTTATATATTAATCGCTTGTTTTATGAAACTTTTCTGTAACTTATTAATGTGAAAATTCATTTTCCATTTTCCATCCACTACAAACTGCTTCAGATTAATGAACATTGAT